GATGAAGAAGAAGGGGGGGGGGAATGGTGAGAAGCATCCCCTGGATAATGGAGGCCGTCGATGCCTGCGGTGGGAGGGAGGGAGGGGTGGTGGTTTGGATTCCTTGCTTGGTGGAAAGACCTGAGCCTTTTGGGTAGGGCGGGTGTAGCTGCGCTATTTCGGAGCTGCCTGTTTGCCTTTTGGGAAGTGAGGCACTTCCAGCAGTGAGGAATGATCCATACATTAGGTCATGGTGTGGCTCAGTGGTGGGGATGGGCCAGTATGTCATGTCAAGGGGGAAGGAGAGCAGGCAGGGGATGAATAGCCAAAAGAAGGGAGTACAGGAGAGGGAAGAAGATCTCAACTCCTTATAGCTAATGTATGTACCATGTAAGTAAGGGATACCACAGAGTATGGTCCTTGCTGCACCCAGAAGAAAAAGGCCATCTGTGACCACCACAAGCCGTGACAAAGCAGAACTCTTGGGGGTTGGGAGGGGGGAAAAGATGCTGTTGTGTCGAAGGGAGGGGTGGTGGTTTGGATTCCTTGCTTGGTGGAAAGACCTGAGCCTTTTGGGTAGGGCGGGTGTAGCTGCGCTATTTCGGAGCTGCCTGTTTGCCTTTTGGGAAGTGAGGCACTTCCAGCAGTGAGGAATGATCCATACATTAGGTCATGGTGTGGCTCAGTGGTGGGGATGGGCCAGTACGTCATGTCTAGGGGGAAGGAGAGCAGGCAGGGGATGAATAGCCAAGAGAAGGGAGTATGGAAGAGGGAAGAAGAACTCAAATCCTTATAGCTAATGTATGTACCATGTAGGTAAGGGATACCACAGAGCGGGTACCCCTATGGTCCCTGCTGCATCCAGAAGAAAAAGGCCATCTGTGACCACCACAAGCCGTGACAAAGCAGAACTCTTGGGGGTTGGGAGGGGGGAAAAGATGCTGTTGTGTCGAGTCACGGTGGTGAAAATGTTTGGTCTTCAGCTTTGCTGTACCTGCTGACTTAGGGATGGGATGGCCTGGAGTCCTAAAAATGCTTAGGTGTCTGAATGCCCTTTTTACAGGCATCTCGGGTGCTTTGAGGGAGCTGTGTCCTCCTGGCTCTGGGCCAATTTCCTCCCAATTTCAAAAATGAAGGGGCAGGCTCAGAGGGTGGCAGGGATAAGGCCTGTGTTCAGGTGTGAACACTACCTTGATATTATTCCCTTCAAGAAAAAAAAAAGCACCCTGTCCCCTTTGTCTCCATCCCTAACCTTGGCAGGAAGAGAGCTCAGTCTCAGACACTTAGATGGTGTAGGTGGGGGAAACCATGCCTGAGAGTCATTTCCCCAGTTTCTGTTCACTGGGGCCTGACTGGTGAAGGTTGTGCAGGTCGGAAGCACCTACATGCTTGGCTTGAAAGATTGATAAAGGTGGTATGAGCGCTGGCAGAAGGTTACTGGCAAAAATTTTGGACAACCTTGGAAGTCACTGCTCCTGGAGCTGAGCTGGAAAGTGAGACACTGGAAGATCTGTAATGATAGGCCCCACAGAGTCATTTTTCTCTCCTCTGCCAGCCTTAGGACAATACTTGGAAAGCTTTGGAAAAGGCACTGTTAATATTTTTTTGAGAAGCTTCCAATCCCTCCTGAGACAGAAACATGATCTTTCCAAATTGTGCCAACTCAAGCACTGGCCATTTAAGTGCCAACTCCTGAGTCACCTGCTCCCCCCATGCCTCCCTAACACAGAGCTGGCTTAAATGCCACAAGCTTTAGAAATGTAGAAAATGTCTGATGCTTTTCAGCGACACTTAAAATTCTCAGTCTCTGGGCCTTCTGTGGTTAGACCATCAAGGTTCCTCTACAGCTCTGAGGGCTCAGCAATTCTTATTTTATTTTAACAAATAGAGATTTGTGTATATTTCAGGGACTGTGTTACATTTGAAATACCGAGTATTGCCACATCTTTAAGAAAAATAAAGGGGAAGGTTGGCAGCGCTGCTGCTGGTGCTCTGTGTGGAGGAGGCTGCCTGCCAGATACCCTGGGGCAGGGCTGGGAAGCTCCAGCCTGGGAAAAAAGCAGCCCTGTTGCTGAAGAGTGCGTGTTTTTAACTGTTCAGAGTGACAGCCAGGATAGCTCGTGGGCAGATCTGAGACTCAGTTTATGGGAAATTGCCCGTTGGCACACGGGGAAGAGTTAGACCCTTGTTTCATGACATGCCAGAGATCAGCAAAAGCTTTTCTGTAAAGCAGATCAACCCAAAATAACAGGCACTAATGCAGCCGGTGTATTCAATACTAATGAGCTGATAATAGTTGATGAAGGTCAGGAGATAATAAAGGGGAGATCCTGACAGGCTCTCACAGAACTTTTTCCTGATGTAGAGTTGCAGTTCTCTTTCCAGGGTCTCAGTTACTGGTACAAAAAGCCCATTCCCCGCCCCTGGTTGCCCTTATGCATGGCACCTATGAGTTGCAGCTCATGCTGAAGAGACACTCAAGTTGTGTAGAAAGCAGGAATAAACAAAGCGACTGAATAATTGTTTTCTCTCTTTTCCCACAGAAAGTCACAGCGCCCCTTATCTATGCTGTTGCCATTGCTGCCATTGGATCTCTCCAGTTTGGGTACAACACTGGTGTCATCAATGCTCCCGAGAAGGTGAGAGGAGGAATGAGTTGCAGAGGTGGTATGAGTGAGGGGCTGAAGGGAAAACAACCTATCTCCCATGAAGTCAAGAAGACATTCAAAACCCCCTCTCAACTACAACAATGGCCAGGAAGCGCAAAGCTTTGGGGAGGAGAGAGAGCAAGCAGAGAGGTTAATTCTCTTTATTAGGAGTGCAGAGGGGGTAGAAGGGCTCCCTCCACCATTTCCTGGTAGGTCTATATTTAGCGAGTTGAGGAATGTGAGCCATTTCAGTTTTTGAATCCAAATAAACCAGCCATGGCAGGAGGAATGTAGAGAGCAATGTGCAAAAAAACATTTCAGGAATGGGTAGGGATTATGGCTGCTCCAGTTTAGTTTATGTCAGGGACCATCTCAGGTTTGTTTTGTTTTATTTTATTTGTTTATTCATTCTGTTTGTTAAGTATAGATTCAGTGCTTGTAAAAGGGCTGTGAATGGGGCGCTCTGACCGAAGCATCTCATGACTGTAGCCTAAGAAAGAAGAGAAGAGATGAAGAAAACAAGAAATGTGGTTTTCTTGTAGCTATAAAATGGTTCCTCTCAGGAACTGAGTCACCAATACCACATCCACCCTGTCTCCGGGAATAGATGTCATCACTGGTGGGGGGGAAGGTGGCAGTGTGCGTGGTGGTCCTCTCAAGCTAATGTCCTGCTGCCATCTGCTGGGGGCAGACACTTTAAGGCCATGTCCCACTCAGCCCTTGCAGAATTTCCCTCATTATCAAAAAGGAAACCTTGGAAATTAGCAACACAGCCCTGCCACATCCCCATGGGACAGCGAATGATTGTTTTGCATAATGCTGTAGCCTGTAGCAGGTTTACCTTAGTGAAAATTTCTATGTCTCTTACGCTGTTTCTATGCCAGAAAGCCTGTCCCTGCTGCTGTTCTGGTATTGCCAGAAATGTTCCATTCTCTGGTCACGTTTTTTTTTTTTTTTTTCTCCCTCTCACTCCCATCTGTCTCACACCCCCTCCCAAGCACCACCAGTGACTCGCATCATCCAGAAACATGCAGAAGATAAGCCTGTTTTCCTTAAGCACTGGCCCAGCCCTCATGTTCAGTGAAGCAATCTCTCCTCCTTCATACTGCTAGCCATCTATTAAACCTCTTGATGAAAGTTCCTCTTTCTGCACTTTATTCTTCCCCTTGTGTGGCTTGCTTCTGATTACTGCAGTTTTAGGTTCTGTCCTTGCTTTTTGCTTCCGTGAAAACAGAAGGAAGATCTCAGAAGTGATCTCCCCACTCTCCAGTGCACCATACCTCCCGCTGGATTGTAACTCTGTCCCCATTTGGTTTCTCTTGCAGATCATCCGGAGCTTCTTCAACAGAACCCTGTCAGAACGGAGTGGGCAGACTGTCTCCCCAGAGCTCCTCACGTCTCTGTGGTCCCTTTCTGTGGCCATATTCTCAGTAGGAGGTATGATTGGCTCCTTCTCAGTCAGCCTGTTCGTCAACAGATTTGGCAGGTAAGTTGGGAAGAGGGATCTAAACCTTTAGGGATTTTTTTTTTTTCCCCTTCTACAATGGTTTGTTGGGAGGAAGAGGACACAGGTTAGAGGAAGGGAGGAGGAGGTGGCTGTGGAGGGAGCAAGAATGCCTGGCCTGCAAAAAGAAAGGGTCACAGGCCAAGGCAGAATTATTCTGTTGTCCTCCTGGGGATCATAGGTAGTTTACCCCTCTCCCGGTGATTTTCCTATTGTATTGCCAGTTTAAGCTCAGTCTTGACATCTTTACCCTGGCAGGAGGAACTCCATGCTACTGGTGAACATCTTGGCCTTTGCTGGTGGCACTCTCATGGCCTTCTCTAAAACGGCAAAGGCAGTGGAGATGCTGATTCTTGGCCGCTTCGTTATTGGCGTCTTCTGCGGTCTCTGCACTGGCTTTGTGCCCATGTACATCAGTGAGGTCTCACCCACCAGCGTTCGTGGAGCCTTTGGCACCCTCAACCAGCTGGGCATTGTTGTGGGCATCCTGGTGGCCCAGGTAGGCTAGACAATCTGATCCATCTCTCAGGGGAAAGGAGGGGTGGGGGAGGTTGAGGTGGGCTGCACTTAACTTCAAGTGGGGTATGCTGTCCTGTCATAGTGGTTTGGGTAAGGAACTGGAGTATTTAGATCGTTCTGTTTCTCTCCAATTCTTGGTGTAGATCTTTGGCCTGGAGGGAATCATGGGGACTGAAAGCCTTTGGCCACTGCTTTTGGGATTCACGATCCTTCCAGCGCTCCTGCAGTGCGTGGCTCTTCTTTTCTGCCCGGAAAGCCCCCGTTTCCTATTGATCAACAAGATGGAGGAAGAGAAAGCGCAAGCAGGTAAGAACTCATCTCTGAAGGGGCAGGGCTGTATTCTGGCTCCTAGCCTGCCCTGAACTTGAGTGGGAGGCTAGGGCTGACTCTGGAGCCTGTGGTGGATCAGGGTGTGACTCCCAGAGGGCACCAGGTCTACCCTCCCATCCTCTAGGCTGCACCAGTGCCAGGAAGGGTGAGAAACCTGGCATCCCAACAGAGACTCCAGGTGGGATTAAGATGTGAGGAGTGGCACCTGGTCTGGTGGGATGTAGCAGGGCCAGCTTCTGCTCCTCTGTCAGCTCCTCCTGAAAGGTTGGGAATAGGCTGATGTTTAACAAGGAGCTTGGGAAGGTGTTTCCCTCTCCTATGGCAGGGGCCTGGAGTCAGCTCTGGCAAGCATGTGTGCAGAATTAGGGATCAAATAGGGATCAAATTGGAGATCAAGCAACATGAGCAGGGCCTGGGCCTGGTTTCCATGCTGGTCACAACACCCTGACCTCTGGGTTGAAAAGATTAGCAAGGCTGCATGTGGAGGCTTGGTCTTTCCTATGGAGCAGGCCCAAACACTGACTGGCAGGTGGTCCATTCTTCCCAGTGTGTCCTCCCTGAACTAGCAGGGCAGGGGTGGAGAAACTTAATGTCTGTGGGTGTATTATACCTGGCATTTGTTTTTTTTTTTTTATTCCTACCTCCAGTTCTCCAGAAGCTCCGTGGTACACAGGATGTGTCTCAAGACATCCAGGAGATGAAAGAAGAGAGTGCTAAAATGTCCCAGGAAAAGAAAGCAACTGTGCCAGAGCTCTTCCGTTCTCCAAACTACCGTCAAGCCATTATCATTGCCATCATGCTGCAGCTCTCCCAACAGCTCTCGGGCATCAACGCTGTGAGTTGTCTTTTGTCTCATCTGCTGAGCCTCCCTTATCTTTGGCTACACTTGCACTTGCCACTAATGTGGAGAGAACTCTGCACCTTGACTGGAGTTGACTCTTTTGTCATACTGCAGAGATTGCTAAGCTGGTTTCCCCTCACACACTCTGGCAAGGCGTTGCAGTCTTGCATCAAGTGGATGAACCTTGACCGGAAGGATGCTTTTTTTATACTCTTAAGTGCTTGTTATAAACTCCCTGTTGGGCCTGCAAGCCATTAGGCAGAGAATGAGGGACATGCTCTCAAAACACTGGAATCGTGATGGTGTCCAACTTTTGCTTCTCTCCCCAGGTATTCTATTATTCTACAGGGATTTTTGAAAGAGCTGGTATCACGCAGCCTGTGTATGCCACTATTGGAGCTGGTGTGGTAAACACAGTCTTCACGGTTGTGTCGGTAAGTGGAACAGGGCCTTACGGTGAGAGGTAGCTTGTCTGCTTGGGCTTTTTTGGGAGATGTGACTGAAGACAAGTAGCCAGGCTGTAGCAAAGCATCGGGCTAGGCAATGGCCTATAAGAGCAAAGAAAAGACTGCATTAAAATCATTGTAGGAGGGGAGAAAGAGGCACTATTTTAGAAGAAAGGGAGGGTGAAAAGGAGTGAATAGCAGGGGGGTGAGGGGTAGAGGGGGTTGTGGAAACTAGAGAAGGCAGTAGGAAGAACCAGAGAGGAAACATTTATACCCAGAATGGGGCAGCCTGGTGACCTTGCCCTGAGATCACCACTGGCTCTGAGGGCTACAGGCATATCAAAGAAAGAGGTGCAGGGCACACTGAGCAAGGGACCCTCTAAGCTCTTGCTACCAAAGTCACAGATTTATTTTTTTTAATTTTTTTCCTCTTGTTTTTCCATGTTTCTAGCTGTTTCTGGTGGAGCGTGCAGGGCGCAGGACCCTCCATTTAGTTGGCTTGGGTGGCATGGCCGTGTGTGCTGCTATTATGACCATTGCTTTAGCTCTGAAGGTGAGTAATTAGTGTTCTTGTCCAGGTTGACCCCAGAAGGGCACCTATAAGATTATACAGCTGCCTTGCCCTGCAGTTCTGCCCTGTAGGCAGGTACAGCTGGGGCTAGAGTTGAGTGTGCAGTGGAGAGCACAACTTTCTAACGGCAGAAACTGCCACAGTGTTCCCAGTACAGCTGAAAAAGCTGTGACACTGGAGATGGCATTGTGCTGTGCCATGTTTGCCTGAAATTGCAGCTGATCATGTCTTGTTCCTTGCAGGATCTGGTGCAGTGGATCAGATACATCAGCATTGTTGCCACTTTTGGCTTTGTGGCTCTTTTTGAGATTGGCCCTGGCCCTATTCCCTGGTTCATTGTGGCAGAACTCTTCAGCCAGGGCCCACGGCCTGCAGCCATGGCAGTGGCTGGTTGTTCCAACTGGACCTCTAATTTCTTGGTGGGAATGCTCTTCCCCTACGCAGAGGTAAGGACCCAATTTTCAAAGCAGTACGAGTGCTGCAGCATTGGAATAGGTGTCCAGAGTAGGTGCAGAATCTCCATCCTTGGAGACTTTAAAACATGACTCTATGACCCTTAACTTGCTCTCTCCTGAAGTTGTCCCTGCTTTGAGCAGAAGGCTGGTCAGTCTTCAGAGGTCCCCTATTCTGTGTTCTGATTGTTACTGAAGTCAAAGTGTTGTGGGTCACCTTATATGCTGCTGTCTTAATTGCTTGTAGCTTGTAGCTTACAAATAGCTGGACATCAAACTTTCCCTTTAAAAGCCTCAATTTTGGTCACCCCCAGGAATGTAGAAGTACTTCAGAAAGAAGCCCACAGGAACCTGATTTTGTTTTAAACAATGCTGTGTTGAGAAAAAAGTCAGTAAGGACATTGTTGGAGAAAGATGATAGAATTTTGACCTGTCAACCGTATGCATATAGGTCTACGAGCTTTTTAATTTAAAATTTCCGCTTTTGTCACCCCTGCAGAAACTGTGTGGCTCCTATGTCTTCCTCATCTTCCTTGTTTTCCTGGTCATCTTCTTCGTCTTCACATTCTTCAAAGTTCCAGAGACCAAGGGCAGGACTTTTGAAGACATCGCCAGGGGCTTTGAAGGACGAGCAGAAGCCGGCCCCACATCACCTGAGAAGAACCGCATGGTGGAGCTGAACAGTGTACAACCTGGCAAAGAAGATGCCTAAGATTTATGACACACTCCCTCGACTCTGACATCCTTAAAGAGTCATTAAAGGAATGAGCAAAGAAAACCATGAGAACTGGGACATTTTTTCCCCTCTTCCCCTCAACTGCTGCTATTTTCTTCTTTGCACCCACATATTCTCCCATTCTGCCAGGCTTACCAACATTAAGCAAATCCGATATGGGTGATCCCATTTTCAAGTACTGGAAGGCACCTGGCACTTGCAAAAATATTTTCATCTTCCCTGTTACAAACATCAGGAGAACAGAGGAGAGCTGGCAATATTTTTGCCTTTTTTTTTTTTAACCTTATAATTGCTATTTGGGGTTAACAAACTTACGCACGCAGTGACCATTACGCATTTGAATCTAATGACTATTTTTGTAGTGAATTGAAGCGACCCACTAAATGAGTCCCCTGGCCTTTGAGTCTACTCTGTGTGAGTGTGTGTGTGCAGTGCTACACTGGAGTTTAACAAGCCTACCAAAAAGCCATCTCCTTCCTTTTTCCTATCCAGTGTGCACTTTTTTTCAGCCTCAGGAAAAAGGGGACCAAGTTACATGCATATTTTTTCCTGCTCTTATTTTTTTGTATAGACAGACTGAAAGCATACTTTTACCTGAGTTTATTTATTTGTATGTCACTTTGTAAATATTTATTTTTTAAATGGTGTACAAACATGTACAGATAAATTGAAGATGTCTAAGAGAAATAGCTAATCTAACAAAAGATGCGGTAGATCTGAGGTGCAATAAGACTGTAAAGGAAAAATGTGGTACTAAACAGGAGATTGGGCATTTTGGATGTTATGTACAGCAGAGCCGATTATGCACATCACCTTCAAGTTATTTGTGCCCTTTGGAAAGTACTGCAAAGAGGTGTGTGCTAGTGACAAAGAGGTATGTTTGTCCACCAGGATCTCTGTTATTTGGGATTCTTTTAGGTGGCAATTTTAAATATTGTTCCCAAGTGAGTGGAGAGTGTGGTATTGCAGCAAATGAGTGTATTTTTAGTCATGGTTAAGCATTGTATGGGATGATTCAGGGTGGTGATTGCAAACCAGGAGGTAACTTTTCCTGCCTTCTGCTGTGTTCTAGTAGGTCAGAAAGCCTGAAATTTGCAGATTAAAGGTTTGTGAAGGTAACGATTATTTTCCAAAGCTGTATTTTCTTAGCAGTTCTTACAAATACCCTTCTTGACACAGGCATGGTCAGTTACGGCGTGCAAGTTCATAAAGGTAGAGATGCTGGACTACAGACCAGAGCTGCTGGAGCTTGCTAGCTTAGCTGTAGCGCTCAGTCTGCTTGTTGGTTGTAGAGCAAATGGTTTTTGCCCCATGTGTCTTCTCTAGAAGATCTGCATGATGTTGTGATGCCCACCGGTGCGTAGCATGCTGTGTAGATGTGTAGGGCTCTCTAATCCTGCCTCTTTTAAAAGGGATGTGGCTGACAGTAATTATACATCAGTGGACATTGGTCTCCCTGCTTGTCGTAGTGCTAGGCGATGGAGAGAACGTGTGTCTGCCCTTGCTGCCAAGCTAGCACAGTTCAGGAAGGCAAAAAGTAGCTCACGGGGTATCCTTGCAATCAAGGGTTGGGAGCTTTGCTTCACTGACTTGCAGTGCCCTGTGGAGAGACTCCAGATCTCTGTCCAGACCTGCAGAAGCTAGCTGAAGGTAGCACAGAGGTAGGTCCAGTTCAAACTCCTGCTCTAAGATCTCCGTTCTCGGACTCGACTGAGCTCCGGTCTACCTGCAAACCCATGCTGGAGTTCATCGCTGGATATCCTAGAAGAGAGGCAGGCCCACAGATTCCAAGGTGGGTAAAAAGAAAGGCTCAAATATAGGAACGACAGCAAAATTGATAGCCCAAGCTTTCTTGACAACATATTGCTTCAGAGAAGTTCCCATTGATGTACATTCTGGGGGCATGTATCTGACGCGTCAGTGATGACATTTCCACGTTCCCTACTGAGAAACAGTTGCAAAGATCAGTAAAACTTGCTGCTGTGAAATACTTCCTGTGACTTCATTTGAAATACTTCAGCTTTACACAGTGCAATCCTATTACAGTCAGTTTCCCCTAGCTTTCTGTCAGGCTTCCATGCCAGATATTTATTCTCAGAAGTATGTGACTCTTCCCAACTCTCACATTTTGGCTCAGTTATACAGATATTTTTTTTTGGTGCTCTTTGACCCTCCAGCACTTCCAGACATGATAATTCTATATGGCCATCTATATGTCAGGAAATTCCTCCTACAGCTGTGCATAAGAGCATTCCATATTTTGCATCAGAGATGTGTGTTGGCTTAGACTGAAATGTATAGTTCTTTTCTCACATAGTATCTTTGTTATTTTCTTTTTCTGTAACGGCGTTGTGAATATTTTGGATGGGTTTTATATGCTTATTAATGTGGTGTTTCCTGTTTTTAAAATAAAAACGATAGAACTAAGTATCTGGTGGTCTGTTTCTTACTCTTTTATCACAGCCTGGGACTACATCCAGCATCCTGGCCTGTATCAGGAACAGCGTGGGGAGTAGGGCCTGAGAGGTGATTGTCCCCCTGTACTGGGCACTGGTGAGGCCTCACCTTGAGTGCTGTGTCCAGTTTTGGGCCCCTTACCATAAAAAAGACATTGAGGGGCTGGAGCAGGTCCAGAGAAGGGCGACAAAGATGGTGAGGGGTCTGGAGAATAAGTCTTATGAGGAGAGGCTGAGGGAACTGGGGTTGTTCAGCCTGGAGAAGAGGAGGCTGAGGGGGAGGCCTTATTGCTCTCTACAACTCCCTGAAAGGAGGGTGTAGAGAGGGGGGGGTCGGTCTCTTTTCTCAAGTCACAGGCGACAGGACAAGAGGAAATGGCCTCAAGGTGCACCAGGGGAGGTTCAGGCTGGATATTAGGATAAATTTTTTCACGGAAAGGGTTATCAGACATTGGAATGGGCTGCCCAGGGAGGTGGTTGAGGCACCATCCCTGGAGGTGTTCAAAAGACAGGTTGATGTAGTGCTGGGAGGTATGGTTTAGTGATGATGCTCCTTGTTTGTTGTGTGGGTGTCTATTTTTGTCAGTTAGGTTGACGGTTGGACAAGATGATCTTTAAGGTCCCTTCCAACCTAGAAGATTCTGTGATTCTGTGATCCTGGAATGTCCCCAGGTTCTGCCCTGCAGCCTTTCCAGCTAGCCCAGCACCCTGCATTGGCCCTTCTATTCCAGTGGGAATAACCATTTCTCTCACGTTAATAAATTCCCTTACTATTATTCCTGTTTTCAACTAAAAAGATGTGCTTATGTGGCTCTTGTTTGCTCAAATCCTTTTGTTTGCATCCAAATCCATTCCTAGCACTGAGGACTAAGTTGGTGTCACTGAGAAGTAAGTGGCTGGAGGTCAGGAATCCTGCCCTGAGCTAAAGCACCCTGAGACTTCTCTCCCTGCCCTCTTTCTGAGAGCGGTCCTCAACTTCTCTGCCATGAAGGTGAAGAGGAAGCCCTTCCCCTTGCAAATGCTACTTTGCTTCCTCTGTCTGGTAAGCGAACCTTAACATCCTCCTCGGGAATCTTGCAGGCTCAGTACTGGGTGCCTGAAAGGAGCAAGATGGAGAAGAGGAAACCCCACTGCCTGGAGAGAGGGGGCTGTAGGGTTCTGGACCCACTGGCAGGTGTGGGGTGCTCTCACCTGTGGCTGTCTTGCACCCACCTCTTAAAGCCATGAGGCAACAAGCTCCTGTCCCCTCAGCTGTCTTAAAAGCTCAAGGTGTCTGTACCTGAGAAGAGTTCATCAAAAAGTAAGGAGGTAAAAGATCCTTCAGAAGAAGAGGATGGAGGGAAGTGAGAGGAAGGAAAAAGATGATGGAACCCAGAGGAAGAATTAGGCAAATACAACTCCAGATTCAGCACAAGGTAACCAGGAAACAGTAGGCATGAGGTATGTTTTGAAAAAGCTCAGTATAAGGCAGAGCCGGAGCAGGGTATCTGAAAGCTGGCATGGTCCTGGTGATGCCCGTGTTTCACAGAGTTTGCTACACAACTCACTGAGGAGTGCTCTGGGCTAAGTTGTGTGTGAGTCTTTTAAAATGCTGTGGCTGAGCTGAATAAAACAATAGAACCCAAATTCCTAAGCGTGTCTAAGTAAAATTTAACTCTTTAACATTTCCATTGCCTTGTCAAAATGGGAACCAGAGAGCAAGATCATTCAGGACCAGAGCACGTGGTTCACTGAGCCCTAAATCTGTGCAGTTTTTGTCATAGAGTTTTGGTCATGGGATGACTGTTTTAGATGTGGTTATTTTATTTCTGAAAATTGTAAGGAAGCTTCAAAAGCAAAAAAAATAAATGTTTGCAATTAAATGGTCTGAATGCTTGAAGATGGGTTATTTTCAGTTGAAACTCTCCACATCATTCAAGTGTAGGCTTGTTTTTATATACAGCTGCCACAATCCTTCTCAAAAAATGTCATTCTACTCTGTGAGGTGGTGGAGCTGGCTTGGACAGGTATGTCTTTGAGACTACCCACAGGACTTTGCCCTGGCTTGCCATGTGCAAGTGGCGCTGCAGAGACCTTCAAAGCATTGCACGGGCCTCTGAAAGCCAAGCTAGTCCCCAGACCAGTGTACAAGATTAAGGTTTAGCCACTGTGGGCTTTTTTCCCCCCATTATTACTGCCACGTTACCTCTTGGGTATACTCAGAGTTGGGGAGGTATCACTGCTGGTGGGAAGCAGGACACTCCAAGTCTCTGCATCCCACCCCTAAATGGCCTTGAAATGGCTTCCTTTTGAGAAGGAGTCTTTGAAGACAGGTAAGATGCCTACTGGGAAACCTGGGGTCCATGGCTCTGGTCTGTCATGCTTGTGCTTTAGCCTGGCCTTGTCTTTACAATGTGAGATACCAGACGAGACAGATGTCTTCATAGTGTGCTGCTGGGAGGACACAGCACTCGGGGAAATTAGGCTTGCTTAGACTAGGAAGAAAATGGGTTTATATCCTAAAATATATATTGCTAAGACAATTTAATTGGTGCTACTTAAAAGTATGCCATATGTACTGGAGGTAGATTGTGTAACTTTTAAAACAATTCACTTGCTGTGGTAAATCTTGTTCCTATGCTATACCCCACTGAAACACACATCATTTACAAGATTGTGTTTTCCTGCTCCAAGAGACACACATCAGCATGTCTGACAGACACATGACTGACCTGCTAAGTCTGTTTTTTGCCTGCATTGCACAACCAATTGTTGTTTAGCAAGCGGTCACATGGATTTGTGTCAGTCGCTGTGGCATGTGGCGTGGGACCACTGCAGGCCATGCACTGAGCAAGGAACCAGTCAGTCGTGCAACCATCAACCCCGTCAAACATCACCCAGTCTTTCATTTCTGCTCTGGTCTCTGTTTCATCCTGTTTTCTTCTTTTCTTTGTCACTAACAAATTCGCCATCAAGCGCTCGGCTGTTTATTGCTTTATACTGCAATATACTGTCACCAACTGCTATTGTCACTTAGGCTGCACATTATCTTGTTTTTAAATTGTATTCATACGTTAAATACTTTGGGGCTGGGCTATCTTTCTTCCCCTTCCGCTTTCCTTATTACTTTTAAAGTGCTCTCTCTGATACGGACCAAAGCTTTCGGTGACATGTCTTGACCTCATAGCTCTGCTTTGAGTCTAGTCTGTGATGCAAGTCTATGAGCTAAAGAGTCCACGAGATTTAGGACAGTGTCACCAGAATAATTTTCCACCGAGGAAGGCGTAGGGATGCAGAGCCAGGAGACCACGAAGGCTGGGAGCAGTGGTGAAGGTGTGGGGGGATACGGATGCTGCAGGGTGGCTGGAGGAGGTGGAGGCTGAGTACAGAAGGGAAAAAGTGAAGATTACGAGGATGTACCGAAGCAATAAGTAAAAAGAGAATGGTGGGTTGCTGATCTGCAAGGAAAGGAGGGATGAGATGCAAGCTGAGAAAACCCTGAGGTCTGGAAGGAAGGTGAGGCATTTATAAGCGTGAGAAGGTGGGACAGGGCCTGAGAGAGAGGAGTATGAGCTTTGACAGAAGCTGCCTTTCCGTAAACACAAAGGAAAGGTATATTCCTCACTGTGTTAAGTAATGCAAGACAAAGCCCCGACAAACAGAACTGGCCACAGCAAAAGTCAGCAAAGTGCATTTTGGGCAGATACCACCCCTGCCCTGCAATCTGTGGGGGCTCCTCCATCTCAGAAAAACTGCCAGTTCAAAAGCCTTGAAAAAAATGCTTTCCAGCTTCCTTACTTCACAAAACATTTTGTGAGAGATGACCTATACTCTTCTTCTGAAACACCTCTACTCTTATTACAGAATAGTATTCACGCTGACCATACATAGCTCACGGGTAATCCTGTACATTGCAATGCTTTGGTCACAACAACAACAACAACAAAATTAAAAACGTTGTATTAGTGGAAGGTTTCAGTGTTTCCAAACACATTGTTTAGAGCAATTTTGCTGCACGAAGTCTTTTTTTCAAGTGTAATTGAAGGGAAAAAAAAAAAAAAAAAAGAACGAAAAAAAAAGGAAGTAAAAATAAAGAGAGAGATACATTTTGCCTTTGGTATGGAAAGTCCACCCCTGACTCGCTGTTGAGTGTGAGGACAGAGCAAAGCACAGGGGCTAGGGCTGGCTAGAAATTAAGTTTTAGCAAAGATTTAGTGTGCAGTAGCTCATGAGAAGATAATTTTGAGTTTTCTCCTTGACTGTGACTTAACCTTTTGCTAACTAAACTGAGGTGAGAGAGCTCATTTTCTCCTGATGAAGGTAGGGCCAGGCTCAGTTAGTAACACTTCAAAAGCAAAGACCAAGAAAATCTAAAGTTTGTGGGAAGCCTTAAAGGAGTGAACTCTGCTGAGAAGGTTGGGAAGGAGGGAAATGTGGGACTTGTGCCTGGAATTACCGACAGCTCTTGGGAGCCAGAACCAGCCACTGGAACCCAAACAGGGGCAGGAGAGCAGGCAGGACACACCTCAGTTCCCTGAAACCCTCTCTGGACTGGAGGCCAAAAGGGACACAGGAATGGTCACACCCAAACGCACTCATTGGCACCAGGTGAGCAGACACAGGGAGTATTTGCTTGTGCAGTGCCCCAGAATCACAGAATCTTCATGGTTGGAAAGGACCTTTGGGATCATCGAGTCCAACCGCAAGGGCACCACCTGACACCAAGGGCACTGCGGAGGCACAGCACGGCTTGTGGTTCCTCACCCCCTTATGGTGCCTGATGTGGAAGGGCAAGGTGGTGCTGGAAGGGTGGTAGAGAATGGGGTTTTCAGTGTTCCTGGTGCCAGTGTGAAGGGCTGCAGGAGGTGCTGGGTGACCGGGGAGGTCTGGAAGCCGGAGGTGACATGTGCCCTGCTCCCAGACTCTAAGAACCGGGTGGTCCTGGGAAGGTTTTGGAGCATAGCCATGTCTGAAGTGGCTTCCCACCAACACTGT